ATCCAGTGCTGCTTGCTGGGCTTAAAAGCTAGAAGGGAGCAGGCCCAACAGGTTAGGGGCAGTGTTGGGCAAGTTACTTTGAAAAAGTAATTAATTATATTTACTAGTTACTTCTTCAGAAGAATTAGTAACTGAGTTACAAGATTCTAAATTCCTCTGGAAGGATGTGTTCCTTTTTGAACTCAAAGGTTTGTGCGAGCACAGCAGCAGAGAGCAGAAGCAGCAGCAAGCAGGAACACTGAACCCTCGTGATTCCCTGAGGAAGAAAAACACAGAATTACACTAGAAATCTCAGGACATGATCAACTTTCCCAAATCTGTGTTTAAGAGCTTGTTGAGTTCCAGTATTTAAACGTTATTGGAAATGTTTAGTTAATGCTGCGCAATTACGCAGTAGAATAAACCTCATCTCATAAATGTTAGCATTTAATTAGAAACATCATCTTCTGTTTTACCCAGCATTTGTAGCACCATTTTTAAAGATTACCTTCATTTTTTCCTTGACATATGAGTGGTTGGTTCCAGTTGTTCAATCACGAGGCGCTCGTCTGCAGCACCAGTTAGTAAAGACGTCTTTGCTGAGTGAAATTCTCTGACGCTGGTAAATGGTAACAGTGAATTCATTATGCAGAGCCTGGTTATGTGGGCATCTCCTATTAACGTGTAGAAGCAAACACAAGTGCTAACGCTAACAACATCCAATCAGGATTTATTGGAAGTTAGATCAAAGCTAACATCTGCATTACATGTGAGCACTACACATGTTATTTAACATATATAACGTATACGATTTTAGATCTTTCTCTTTCCCTCAAGAAGAACTGCTAAAACTGTAGAAATAACATTACAGAAAAGCAGGACATGCTCAAGCAAAACATTATAGAAAATCAAAATGACGAGTCCAAAAACTGACCTGTGTGCAGCTGAGGGTCATGCAGAAAGGAGAGAACAGACCTGTGGAGGCAACAGAAAGAAAAAGGACACGGATTCCTCTGTGACTTCTTTTTATGCTACACCTTTTACAACACCGTCCTAGTCATCAGTGTCACCGCTCCACAAAGCAACAGTTTAACAACCACATTCCTCCCCTTCTATTCAAAAACCTATACTGGAAACAAACAAACAAACAAAACCCCACAAAAGTAAAGAAAAACATCTGAGTTATGAGTTGCTATAAAATGCACTTTACAATAGAATTACAGCAGAGTCACTGTATAATTAACAGTAAATAACTGTAAAACCTGCTGCTTGTTTCACTACAAGGTTTACAGTTTTTCTTTCTGCACTGCGCTTTCACAGCGTTAAAACAAGGCAAGACAAAGCAAAAAGCTAGAAGTCCTCTCTTCTGCTTTGACTTTTAGCTCATTGGTCGATCTTCAGTACATTTTAATAACTATAATAAAAGAAAATTCAAGACATGAAAACTGAAGACTTTCCTGAATTTAAAAGACGTCCTGGAAAAGGAACTTTGTGGATCTTTGTTCAGAGGTTGCAGGTTTACAGTGAAGCAATACTTGACTGTTGTTGGAAGTTTTGCTTGCATTCAGTTGATGTCATTTCTTAACACGGTTACAAATTCATACATTTCACAACAAAAATAAGTGAGAGACAGCGAGCGCATAAAAGACAGACGGAGGGGAACTGACACGCGGGGAAAAACAAACGTCCTTCTCTCTCCTTTAGGAGGCTACAAGCCACTGTCTCCAAATATGAGCTGGGTTTCTAACAGTCGGTAACAGAGAGACTTTTACTGTGCTTCAGGAAATTATTTGTGGTAAAATTAGAAGTGGTGGCCATGTTAGCTTTATATTTCTATAATGTGTAAATTTTTGTCAACCAGGTTTTTCTAAGATAATATTACAGCAAAATAAGTATTCACCCTGCATTATGCAGGCCAGTGAGTACAACATAAATACACAACCTCTACAACTTGGTGACAGTGGGAAGAAAGAACACGCTTTTAACAGGAAGAAACCTCCAGCAGATACAGGCTCAGGGAAGGGTTAGCCATCTGCTATGAGCAGATGGGAGGGATACAAAAACTCC